CACTGGCACCCTGACCCCTGCCGCAGAACCCACTGGCACCCTGACCCCTGCCGCAGAACCCACTGGCACCCTGTCCCCTGCCGCAGAACCCACTGGCACCCTGACCCCTGCCGCAGAACCCACTGGCACCCTGAGCCTTGTCCCATGCTGCACAGTGTAGGACAGTTACATTCCATGTTTTAGATACAGCATATCTATTAACGTATCTGAGAAGGTTCATCTTTTTTCAGTTGCATTGTTGACTCTCATTGAGTTTGTGATCCGTTTTAACTCCAGATCCTTTTCAGCAATACTACAGTTACTCTCCTTTTTGTAGCTGAGCATGTGATTTTTTTTCCTTTGAGTGTAGTATTTGTCTTTCATCTTGCTGATTTCCGACCAATTAACGTTGATTGCTTTGCAAGCAAGTACTGTGTACTAAATGCTACCCACGTCAATTTAATTTGTCTTGTCTTTGTTACAAATTCCATTCAGATTACTTACAGCTCTAAACCAATGCAGCTGCAGAATTAACATTCCATACTGTGGTGGTTTTTTTTTGATGGATATAACTCATTAAAAAGATAACAGAGTTTTTTTTTGTGATGGATATAACTCATTAAAAAGATAACAGACTTCATATGGGGTGATATAACACTGATTTTACAATTGTAATTGTAAAGATAAGAAATATATATGCTATGTTTTTTCACTAGAATTTTGGATGTTACTGCTCTGGATTTGTGGTTTTCTGTAAAGCTTTTTCTTCATATATAAACACTGTCAACTTAAAACTTACTCAGTTTCAAAACTGAATTCACAGTAATGTTCAAGAACTGCTTGTCCCTCAGGCTCCCTGCTAGTCTTTGATCTTACAATAGTTTCCTGTTGCTGGGAATGATTTTTTCCTCTGCTTTTGCTATGTGGTAGATCCGTACAAACAGAGAAACTGAATTCAGCCGTTTCTCTGGCACTGGAGAATAAGACAAGTAATTTTGAATCCTGGCTTGTATGTTTGCCATGCAGGTCAGCAAACTCTTATAATGATGACAAAGGACTTTGAGCCAATTACGGAAAGGGAGATCCACCAGGATGACTTTGGGGAAGGTGAGCTGTTGCTGTGAACAGACACTCAAAAGTATTTCATTGTTACCTCCTAAAAATGAATGAAATGGACAAACAGACCTTTGTGAACTCTGCCCAGGAGGCAGCAGGATGCTACTGTCAGATTAGTGAATTTCGTCTGTCAATTTTTTCTTGGCAGCAGAGGCTCTAAATCTGTCAGATCTTCTGAAAAGTTCCTTTGCTGCTGTTAGCCACATGTGTTGCTAGGACACACATCCCAGGGAATAGCTCTAGGAGCTTGTCCTGTAAAAGCCTGCTCATTAGGCTGGATAGGTGATGCTACCTTGGGCTTCTATTTGGCAAACAGCATGGTGTCATTTTTTAAAGACTTCACATACTGCAATTGTGTCTCTTATAGGAAAGTTCATCACTGTTGGTTGGGGTAAAAAGGAGACCCAGTTCCATGGATCAGAGGGCAAAGAAGCAGCTCGTCGCAAACAAATGGTACTGCACTGATGTATGAGGTCTCTGTGCTGCCCAGATGGGACACTTATACAGAGAGAGCTACTGGCTTTCCTCCGTGCTATTCAGGGATGTTGCTCACACTCTCCTGCCTCTTCCCTGGCATTCTGTCCCCATTTCTACCCATTGATTTTTTTTTTAATCACCTAATTTGTTCACTCTTCACCTGACTTAACTCAAATAACTTTTCCCTCTCTCTTCTCCATTACTGTAGCCTTGGATGCGGTAATGCTCACTTAGTGCCTGGTATTTTAGAAGTGGTTTTAAGGCATAATAGGCAGCTCTGCTTGGAGTTCAGCTTGCCAAGTGTTTCCCATTATAAAACCCTGTTATCAGTTGCTTAATCTTTGCCAGATTTTAACTGTTTGTGTTGAAATTTCCATGCCAGGTGTCTGCAATGGGATTTTAAGTTTCACCTAAAATAATCTGTTTTCTGAGAATGGGGAATAATATTTTGGGGAATAATATTTTGTTTTGCTGAAGCTTTTTTAAAAGAACCACTGTTTCATTGACAAACTAACCCCCAGAGTTACGAGCACCTCGAGAATGGCATTTGTTCGTCACTCTGAACATAACTTTACAGTTCTTTCAAGACTTTGCCACTGTACATTAGCTTAATACAGCTTGGAAACTCATTAAGCAGAAGAAAATGCTGCTTTCCCTTTTTTTTAGTAATCTGTGTATAACTCAGTGCTACACTGGATTTGCTTTTTGTATGTGCGTGTGCATCTCTTCTGCTGCCTGATTGCATGCTTCTGGTTCCCAATGATGTGCATGGTTGGCTGGTCAGTTTGTAACTGGTGTCTGTAACTGTGAGGTTCTACTGTATTGCTAACAGTTACCCAAATTAAGCGGCAGAGGTCTATGCTATGGGTCTAAGTTTCCAGCTTTGCCTATGGCCTGTCTGGGTGTCAAATTCAGCGTGATGTCATGTAGTGGATTTTTTTTGTCATTTACTTTTTAAAATCCTGTGCAATTACACAAACAGAATTAAGTTAATGAAACACAAATTTGGCGAAGACAAGCACTCATAAGTTAGGAAAAGCCATAACGAAGGTTACCGGTGCAGCCTTAACTCTGTTCCCTTGTGTCTACCTCCATGATCACATACTGTTTTTTGCACAGGACCCCTGCCCTGTTCAGCATATAGGATGGACAATGATGACTTAGTGAGAGCTATTCAATATTGTATTTTAGCCTCATAATTCAGTGTGGGTCCTATGACTTATTTTTCATCACTTTGTTCGAACTCTGTTATGAAGATACATTCTCAGTTTCCTAATGGGTTCTTCTCTGGCACTCATCACTGAGTGACTTTCTCAAACATGTAAAAAAATCTTCTCCGCACCCTTGTGCGGTGCACAGTGTGATTGGGAATTGGGCCACAGAGATTAAAGCCAAATTTTCCAAAGATTCCACTAATTTTGCATGCCCAGTTTGAGCATCTGGCCTTGGTTTTTCATTGTACATACAATTGTATAAGTGCTTCATATGTTCACAGCAACAGCTCACTCCCAGTGACCTCAGTAGCAGCAGTGATCGTCCAGCACTTCTGCAGATCAGACTTCTGCAGTGTATTTCAAAGGGGAAGGTCCACGTGGAGCCTGGCGTCAGCGGGACTTGCTAGTGGCCCCGGGATCCATGCTTCGTTCCAACCTTGAAATAAACAAGAGCCCGCACTGGGGCTCTTGTACATTTCAAAGGTGGAACGTGGAAGTTCTTAGCGACTAATCGAACCGTTGATGGAAATACCATTGACTATTCGATTAGTTGATTAATCAAAATTTAACATCCCTAACTTGAACCTGATCCTTTGGTTTTTTTCTGTATAAATTCAGGAAGTGCCACCTGCTTCATCCATGGACGATGGCCGACCCCGAGTCACCTGGAGAGGAGATGGCCAGTTTGTAGCAGTGAGCGCTATTTGTCCACAGACAGGTATAGGGTTCACTGATGAAGAAAACCTGCTTAACCTCAAGTTAAAATCTTTATCTTTGCTGTTCTTGGTTTATCAAGCTGGCAAAGCCACCTCATGTTGTCAGATTTGTAATGGGCAATTAAAGAAAAAAGTTGAAAGTTTTTTCCTTCCATTTTGGGCTCAGTTTTCAGTATAGATGGGTCTGAATTAAATTCTGGACCCGAAACATGTTTGTGCAGGGAAACTGTGGCTTGGATTCTGACTTCACAGCTCAGCTCTTTCTCGCTTGCCATTGAACGAATTATCTGCAACTCAGGCCTTTATTAGATATTAGCCAAGGTAAGAATTGGTGTGATGGCTGTTGTGCAAGGCAGGTGTTTGTCTCCACTGCATCCTGGAAAGCAAGGCAGTGGCTAGAATCGCTGGCGTGTTCTGTTTTCCCCTCTCACTCCTCCCTGTCGTAGGTGAGGAGCAAACTTTTGCAACAATGGTCTTATAAAAGCAAACCTTCCCAAACAACTCATTCTGCCCGTTAGAAACACCCAGTTTCTGTGGCTTTTGGCTTAGTTTCAAAACATATTGGGGGGTGGGGGACAAGTACCTTGCTCTCGCTAACTAGTACTTCACTTATCCTGATCAAAACTTCAGATGCTGGCTTCTGACAGGTAACGCTGAGCTACACATACATCCCTACACAACTGCGGTGCTATAGCTTAAAGAACTAAAGTATGCAACTTAGGCTGTCCTCTGCACGACCAGGCCCTGCCCTCCCGTGTTACCTGGATTGGGATTGTACCTTCTGTCAGAACGTGGAACTGCCACCTTCCTTTATTTCAAAAGTCCGCTGGATCCCTGTTCTCACTCAGGGCCATGCTTGCAAGGAGTTAGTATTGTGCACAAGCTGACTTACTGTGACCGGACCAAAACTGTTCAGTGCACCTCAGGATGCAGAAGGAGTTGTGTTTGGAATCTGATTTCTCAGAAGTGCAAGGACACGTTAAGAATTACTTGGGAAGTTTGAATACAGAATGCATGCGAGACAATCCAAGCAGAAAAGATGCTTTAGCCAGGGGAATGACCACAATTAAATTGTCCAACCTGTCTAGCTGCCAGTATCTGTGACGGGTGCCCATATTTCTCAGTTTGTGCTAGGACTTCATAGGAAGTTGTCTCTTTCAATCACCTTCTCCCCCAAAAATAACAGAGGGCCCTTCTCTTGAGTTTCCTCTTTCCTGCCTTACCCTTGTCTCGTGTAGGTGCCCGGAAGGTC